GGAGGGGCTGCCGGGGCTCTGCGAGGGTGGCACAGAGCTGTGAGGGGACCCCCTGGGTGCTTGGGAAGGGCCTTTTGCTTTAAATGAGCCATTTGCCGTAAGAAAGCGGTTTGACTGGAAGTTTGATTTGCTCCTGACTAAAGCCGCGCTCTCCTCTTGCCTTTCAGTTTCTCCTGAACTCCTGCCGGCACTGTTCTTCGGCAGTCCTTCCCAATGACAGGATCCGCAACATTGGGATCTCGGCCCACATCGACTCGGGGAAGACAACGTTAACGGAGCGAATCCTCTTCTATACGGGCAGGATAGCACAAATGCACGAGGTCAGTTTTCGGAGGACTCCAGAGCAGAGCTGCTTCATCGTGGGCTGAGCGTGCCGGGTACCGTTGTGACGCTGCCGTGACTTGTTCGTCTGCACGGTGTGCTGCATGGAGAGCTCCATGCAAGTAGAGCAGTGCTTGGTGGGCCCGGTGAGGCTCTTCTGGCCAGGCTGGAGAAGGAATCTTAAAAATCTGCTGGTTTCCCCAATACCCCTTTAAAAATAAGCGGAGGGCAAGGGGATAGAAAGTAATCCCTTGTTTTCTGCAGCGTTCTCCCTCTTTCAGAACGCTTCAAATCTTATTTCAAGACTGACTTCTCCCTTACCACCTCTGTAGTAAATATACAATGGAAGATACATGTTTCTTTTGATGTAGTCAAAGGTGACTGGGAGAAACAGAGAACATAGGGGTGTAATTTTTTAGCTTCAGGTATGTTACCTTGTTAAATTCGCAGTGAAGCATAATTTCCCGCAGATTTCTGATAACTTTTTTCAGGAGTGATCCTCAGGAGAGCAAAATACATTAAAGTTGCAGATGAAGCTGCAAAAAAATAAAAAATCAAACTTGTTTGTAGTTCAAGAATTGTAAGCGATTCTGCCATGTCTGCTTTTCTTCAGTCCATGAAAGATGATGCTCAGTGTCTAACGCATCACTCCTGCACATGCAAAATTCTTAGTAAACAACCTTGGACTAAATTTTTTCTTTTTCTTCCCCCCCTCCCCCCCGCCTTTTTTTCCTAAGGTGAAAGGTAAGGATGGAGTTGGAGCTGTCATGGATTCAATGGAGCTAGAGCGACAGCGTGGAATCACAATTCAGTCCGCAGCAACATACACCATGTGGAAAGACACCAACATCAACATCATAGACACGCCGGGTAACGACAGTTCTGAACGCGTTAAGATTGCTGTTCCCTCGCGTACGCACGGAGCGTGGTGCCGCCTTTGTGTTCGTTAGTCGCTCACGTTGAGCTGCTGTGACTCTTGCTGTGTAGCCGGAAGCTGATTCTGTCGGCTGTTGCTCCTTTCTGCACGTATGAGAAAACAATTTCTCATTACCTTTTATCATCGATGAATAATTTTTTTTGTTGTTTTTTTTTATTCAGGACATGTGGACTTCACAATTGAAGTGGAGAGATCTTTGAGAGTTCTTGATGGAGCCATTCTGGTCCTCTGTGCTGTTGGAGGAGTTCAGTGCCAGACAATAACTGTGAACAGGCAAATGAAACGTTACGGTGTGCCATTTTTAACGTTCATCAATAAACTGGACAGGCTGGGCTCTAGTCCAGCCAGAGCAGTACAACAGTTGAGGTATTTATCATTTAAAATTATCTGTGAAATAATTCTGAACTATTCACCTAGCAGGTTAATACCAAGAATATTGAAAAGGGTTCTCTTGTGAGGTCTGTAGTTGCAGTTTGGAGGATAATAACTTGAGGTTAAATCTTAATCTGACCTATAACAAGTCTCCATTTTCTCCAGAAAAGCTAATATTTGTGTCAGCCCAGGCCTGCAGTGACCGAGAGTTGGGGTTTTGATACTTCAATTATTTTGTTGATGGAACTATATTTGGAGCCACTTTGAAAACAGCGTTTTAATTTTACCTATGTCCTGGTAGCATACGTGCTGTAGCTGACAGCAGGGAGATGACACAGGGTTGGACAGCTTCTAGTTCGGATACCAGCAGTCCTGCTTTCTCCTTACCTGCAGTCTTTCTGTGCCTGATTTGATCTGTGAGATACATGCATTAATATGCATTAAGGGAGAAGCAACTCCCGTAATCAAGTAATTAATCTGAAACCAGTTTGCAGTGCCTTCTTTCCCATGGAAGTGGCTCACCGTATCTGTTGGGATATAGAGGGCTGGCAGTCACTCGGGTTAAAATGCAGCTAGGCATTTCTCATCAGCATTGGTAGACTTTTGGCACTGTCCAAAGAACAAAAGAGAGTGATTTTGTAGGAGTGGGATGTTGTTCAAAGACCATCTGGAGCACATATATAGAAATGACTTTTTTCTTGAAGTAACTTATATTTGCTCACTTTTTCAGATCCAAGTTAAAACACAATGCAGCTTTTGTTCAGATTCCAATTGGGCTGGAGGGGAACTTTAAAGGAGTTATAGATCTTATTGAAGAAAAAGCTATATATTTCGATGGTGCACTTGGGTAAGTTTTGAAACTTGCATATTTCTTAGTTGGAGCTAGTCTTTGTCTGAGGAACTACCTATAGTTGCTCTTCAGAGGTGAAAAAGCCTGCTGTTTGGAATGTAAGGGATGCAGCTTGTGCTAGGGCTGAGGTATCACCCTTCAGCTCTCCAGGTTACAGCAAAGCGATTCCGCAGGGTCAGGCTGAGTGATGGGCAGCTGCAGCGTGAGTCGTTTGCTAACTGCAGTAGTGTGAAGGGGTGGTGGCCACACTTGCCACCCTGAGAAAGAGGAGACTTGCTTCGTAACGGGAACTGAGAGCCTACGTTTGGCGCGAGCTTACTGGGATGCCGATAAGATGTGGGTGAGGTTGTTAAACAGGTTATCCTGCATCCTTGCAGACTCCTGCCATGAGTAGGAAGAAACCCTCTCCTGCTAAAGCATCAAAGATAACATGTTGATATTCTTACATGATTTTTTTTGTTGTTTTGCAATATCCATATCAACAGTGAATTTTTCTTGGTCAGGCTGGTCATCCCAATGATTAGTGATTGAAAGGTTGATTCGTGTGGTATTTCTTTAGAGTGGTTATGTTATTTATGTGTGTGTAGCCAGACTCTGCGCTATGATGAAATTCCAGCTGAGTTTAGAGCTGAGGCTGCAGAGAGACGTCGGGAGTTGATCGAATGTGTTGCTAACTCGGACGATCAGCTTGGGGAGCTGTTTTTGGAAGAAAAGATTCCTACAGCTGCTGAGTTAAAGGTAACTTTGTTGTGGTTCTTCTTCCTGTAGCGCTGTTATCTCGCTCTTTTGTGTCCCTATCCTGCAATCCTCCAATAAAGATTTCTTGAAGTCTTTGAAGAAATTTTGTTTGCTTGAGTTCTCTGGTATGAGTGTCACCTCCCACAGGTGGACTCCCACTTCACTCCCCATTGAGGGCTCATTCCAGATTTGTTTTTTGATTTGCGTTGGAAAGTCTGAGCTTGCATCTGCCCTTTAGGGACCAGCAAATGGCTCGAAGGTACCTCTGGTCATTTTTGTCATTCTGTTGCCTTGCCATGCTACAGCTTGATGGCTCTGACTTGCTTCGTGTCCCGCAGCAGTGGGATCTGCTCAACAACAAGTCAGTTGTTGAGATGCTGTAAGTCGTCTTTGTGCCTAGGAGATCCTGCCTTGTTTTGTATTTGCACTGATCACACCTGAAGCGAAAAGAGCAGTATGCTAGAAGGGAACTGGAATGACTTGACTTGGAGACTCCAGAGGGAAAGAATCCAGGTCAAAATACAGTTTTCAAAAAAAAAGGAGAATTGCAGTTCTTGAAAGAGGGGGAAAAAATTGATAGATGATTTATTTTATGAAATACTTCAGATATCAGGTGGCAAACATGCCAGCATAAAAAGATGCTCACAGAAGTAATCAAATGGCCGTAGGCTGAAAACTGTTCATTCTCATGACAGTTTGGCACCGCTGTTTCTTCAAGCGCATGGTCACATAATAAAAGCTGGTGGGGAGGCCTAGGGAGGTCAGCTGCAGTTGTACGCTCTTTACGCAAGTCCTGCCGGTGTTCGCTCCAGGATGAGATCCGCTTGTGCGGTTCCGCGGAGGCTGGGCAGCAGGTTGACGTGCGTTCCTTCTTTTCGACTGTTTTATGTCAGACTTGGCAATCTACACATGCCATTGCGGGTTGTTACCTGGCACGCAGTCCCTCCTTTAAGGTTGGTAGTTGACTGATAATGCCTCTTGAGTTCCTGTGGGATTAGCTTTAGTCAGGACGGGTGCAAAAGCTTGGCTATGCCGGTGTGAGAGAGCCTGTGCCGCACGTGGACCTGCTTCTGCTGGGCCGTGAGCGTAAAGGTAATCTGAGGACGCTTGCCCCTGGAGAAGCAGCGCTAAGCTGGCTTGCATTTACCGCGCAGCCCCGTGGGGCAGGTGTCACTCGAGACGACGCCGTGTAGCTGTTGAAGCCCGGCAGGCTGCCGTGTGCCGTGTCTTGGCAGACGGTAGGGTGAGGGAAGCACGCTGAGGGTGGTACGGTTTGCAGGCCTGATCTCAGCGGGGGTGGGTTTTGCCCCTAATTGCCCGCTCGGTGCAAGGATTTGTGTGATGCGTCCTGCTGTTTGCCACCGCCTCTTGCTCGTGTTGGGAGTTAACTTGAGCGTACTCTTCTAGTGCCTGCTGTTAATAGCTATTAATTAGTCAAGAAGGAAACTGCTAGAGGAAACCAGTTGCTTAATACGTTTAAATAAAAAAGTGAGGTCTGAAAAGCTCATTGCAGTGGGAGAAGCCTTGCAGGCAGGCTGCTTTTCCTAAGAATGCTGCTGTCAGAGCTGGAACAGCTTGTCTTTGAGCAGTGGTGTTGCACAGTCTGCCTGGAGCCTGCCTGACGTGGCACTTTTACCTCCTTTTGCTTCTCTTTGCCTGCAGCTGGGTGCTTCAGTTGGTAGCTGGAGAAGACGAGCGGAATTGAGGCAGAACTGGTTAAAAAGCAGGAGCTGTTTCTCTGAGCGGAGCCTGCTAGGCCAGCTGAGTTCGAGTGATCACTGGGGTTGCTACTTTGAACATAGCTTTGATATTTAAGTCCTCTTCTAAGTGTTGGGCCCGTTAGCAGTGCCCAGCTGCCCCTGCGCCGTAGTCCATTCCCTGCTAGGATCTGCAGCGCTCGCTTTCCTGGACGTTGCCCGCTCTCTGTTGGGTTCTAGAGGACTGGCAGTCCCTCAGAGCTGATGCATGTTGCAAGTCCCCTTAAGATTTATTGCTTTCAATCTTCCTGACCCCTAAATTTTGATTGCTTTTAACTTTGCTACATACCTCGGGTTTAGAGGCGTTTTCTTTAAAAATTGCTTTGGCTGTATGGGTGATTTACTGGTGATTAACGTCTCTAGGAAGAGTACGCAGGAATCTGTATATCCCAGCTTGGCTTGAGACAAATGCACAAGGGTTTTTTTGAAAGTACCAAGCAAATGCATCTCTTACTGATAACAAGGCACTTAGTTATTCCAGTAATTAAATCTTATTTTATGAAGCTGAGCTATTTCTGTTACAAAGCAGCTTTGATAAAGACAGAAATGTAATAGCAATTTGAGAGACCTGTAAGGATCTGTCCTTCACCTGGCAGAGGGAATGGTACCGATGTGAATACGCTGCATCGCTGTAAGAGGTGGGAGATTTTTAGCAGGAAGCTATTTTTGATAGCTCCTGCTGGGAGGGAAATCTGTTACCAAGATAAATTTGTCTATTCAGCATGCCTCTGCTTCCCACTTCTGAAAGCCAATTAATTACAGCTCTAATGGCTATACTATTGCAGATGCAGGTTAATTTGTACTAATATGTCCCTGAAGATGGATTTTCTTTCAGTGGCCAGCAGCCAAGTTTCCACTGAAAATATCTTTTTGTGGAAATGATGCTAAGTATCACTCCTGGCTGCCACAGTCGTAGCATATGATGTTTGCTGAAGATCAGCTGCTTTAAACATCACCTAATTTGCCGCTATCCATAATGCTATACTCGAGGAACCGATGTGCACCGGATACTCAGTGGGGCACTCGGTGAAAATAATCTTGATGTGAAAATAAAATTACTTTTTTCCCCAAGATAATTGTTAATGAGGATAAATTGCAGTCATGTTGCTTCATTTGAAAACATGTGGCCGAATAAAAACACCAGGCACCGGCGCAGCCGTATTTCCAGCGCTCTGGTATATAAGAACAGAGAAGGGCTAGACGAGCAGTATTGCTGATGTAGGATTTTTTTCCTTGTATTATTGTTGTGAAGTCATTACATCAAGAAATTTAAGGAACCGCTGTTCTGTCTGTTAATTATGAAGATAGTTTAACTGTCCGTACTCTAAATAACTCCCAGATCAGATGATATGGTTAACTATCTTGGCTGTCAAGGAGAATTCATTTCTTTTAGCTTACCCAAGACGACAGGGGCTGCTTTTGGTGGGATCAAGTGCCTCGGTGAGCGCAGGGGGATGGCATCCTCTAGTGGCAGGGAGAGGTGAGACCGCGGTGGCAACCTTGGCTTCAGTAATTAATTGCAGGGTGGGAAGAGGGGCACATAGCTTCTGTCCACCTTTGTGGAAGACAGCTGTGATCACTGTTAAGGAAGCTGTTGGTGCTCAGTTATGCTTTGCAACGTCGTGTGATGCTCGGGTGAAAGGCACTGAAGAAGCAGGAGATTACCGTGCAGTTAGTTTATCTTGCTCTGTTTGCTAGAACGTGCTGGAAGGATTCCCAAGACGTCGGTGCAACTTCAGCAGGTCTGTGGATGAACGTGAATAGCTTCTCCTGTTGTGCTTTTAAAACATTCCTCATCAAAAACTGCTGATTCACTGAGCATGGCACTTACCCAAATATCCCTTCCCTACCTAACTTCCTCTTTCAGAAGAGTTTTCCATAGTTTAAGCATACTGAAGCATCTCATCTTACTTTCACAAATTTAAATGTGTGTTTTTTGCCAGTGTAACTAAATAGGGACAATGAGACCTAAACTAGAAATGAAGAGTCCTGACTTTACCAGCGGAGAATCAAGAAACTTTTTCTGAGTATTTTGGGGTTATCATTATATTTATCTGAGGCATTTTCATTTTTAAGTTGAATTTAAGATGAGGGGAAAAAAAAATCTCACGCTTCTCTAGAATTCCAGTGAGCAAGTTTTATGGGAAGCTCTTGTGTAGGGGGTGGTACAGGAGACTGCGTGGGAGCGGCTACTTTACTCCAGGAGTAGAGCTGGCCAGCAAAGAGACAATCTAGACTGCTGCTTGGTTGGTGCTGCATCATGCTCCTGTAGTTACAGAATCATAGAACCGTTTAGGTTGGAAAAGACCTTTAAGATCGTCCAGTCCAACCATTAACCTAACATTACCAAGTCCATCACTAAACCAATTAAGGGGAGAGTAGCAATTTCATGTTTCCTGGCTTGGTGGCTGGATTATTTATAATGAAAGTAAAAACCAGGAATCATTAAGATTGGAAAGGCCCTCTAAGATCATCAGTCCAACCATCAACCCAACACCTCCATGCCCACTAAACCATGTCCCAACGTGCCACCTCTGCCCGTTTTTTGAACACTTCCAGGGATGGAGACTCCCCCACCTCTCTGGGCAGCCTGTTCCAATGCTGGAACGTTGTTGCAGGAGGAGAGTAATGCACTGGTATTTTTCAGCTTGCAATCAGAAGAGCGACACTGAAGAAGTCCTTTACCCCAGTACTTGTGGGAAGTGCTTTAAAGAACAAAGGAGTACAGCCATTGCTGGATGCTGTCCTGGAATACCTCCCCAATCCTTCCGAGGTTGAGAACTATGCTATTCTAAACCAGGGGTAAGTATATTCGTGAGCATATGAAGTGGTCTGGGAATCAGGTTTCAAAGCACTGTAATATGTAGCAGGAAACATTACTAACAAAATACCCGGTCATTTACGATTTGTATTAAATAATGCCATCATCATTTTGCACCAACTTCCAAAACGAAGAAAGCTCACCTCTCATTACTGTTTATACTGGTATTTTTAACACACATTAAATGTTAAATTTGAAAAACTGTTATCTGATGAGATAGTTCTTTAGAAATTAATGGTAACCCTTAAAACCAGGCCTACAGTGGAGGAGAGAGCACATCTGAAATGTGTAAACAGCGTTTTAGTCTTTGGACTTGTTTGTTGAAGTTGATGTGCTTTCACAATTAAGAAGCGTGGAACCCAACATTAGAGCCAGTAAATAGCCCTTAATGTTCCAGTCATGGCTTAGGGGTGGCCGTCAGGTCTCCTTAATGCGTTTGAGTTGTTCGGACAATATAACGACAGCTAAATAGCAGTTACGCTAATAAATACAGTTTATGACTTTTTCTCCCAGCAGTTACGTGACTCTTCGAGTCCTCACTGCTGCTCTGCCTCTCGCTGCCTCTAAGATCTGCCTGCTAGGGTAGACGAAAGCTTCTCACGTGGCTCATGAGCACTGTCGGAAGAGTTACTGCAGCGTCTCTTCTTCACTCTAAAACTGGCCTTGCTCATGAGTTGTGTCTGAGTGTATGATTAATTGTTTTTGTGGCAAAACAGTGGGATGATATCAAGGACTAGTGATATCTGTCATAGTTTTGACCTCCTTTTTGGGATCCGCCCCAGTTTCTCTGAGCTACTTTCTGAGCATATGAGCTACATATGAGAGCATCTTTAAGTCTCTGTTAGGAACCTGTGACACTCAAGGTCCTTGGGACTTTCCGAGGGTGGGCTCCTGTTTAGAGGAGGCTGCCCTGTTTGAGTCATTACACAAACTCCCTCTCCGTGCCTGTTTTTAAGGGATTCTGAGGACAAAGCCAAGTTCCTGTTGAACTCCACTCGAGACGATTCCCAACCTTTTATAGGCCTCGCTTTCAAACTGGAGGTAAGCTCTTCATGTTTTCCTTTCTAATGCAGCAAAACCAGTAGAGAAGCGGGACATTTCCTGCACAAGTTGTTGGTGTACGCAAGTCCTGCTTGCGCTGAGCTGTCGGTGGCTTGTTGCTGATGCCTGGCAAATGCCTTTCGGTTTCGGGGAAAAGCACACATTTAAAGCTTTGTGTTTTCGGTGTAGCTATTTGTGCGTGTGGTGGCTTTTTTACTTGGTCACTGTATACCGCGAGTCCAAACAGGTGGTACTACCAAAACTTTTAAAATCAGCTTGTTTAAATTCAATATGAATTTAACTTCTTTTAAAAAAAAAACCAACTGGTTTCAACCGTCCACAAATGTATCAAACACTGCCAAATTTTTAAGTTTTAAAATGGGTTATGTGCCTCAAATTCTTCATGATTTTTCTTGCTTAAAACCTGGGAACATGAGAGAGTTGGGGAGGTAAAAGTACACAGTTTTAACTGAACAAGTTGTTTGCTACCTAGAGGGTGGCAGTTCAGATTTTCGTGGAAAGTGGCTGGCCAAATTGCTAGTTAACGTATGCCTCTGTTGGGAAGGTTTAGGGCTGGTAAAATCGGAGAAGTAAAGAAAATCGCCAGGAGATGCCAAGTTCCATTCCAGAGCCAAGTACAGAAAAGACACAAGACACAAGAAAGCTGAGACTACGTTAAAAAAAGTTTCATTTGCATGCCTAGTGTTTAAATTCAAACCAGAAACATCTAATCAGTCAACGCAGATCATGCTTTGAATAGAAGTGGTCTTGACTCCCAGAAGGCTTACATCTGATTTTTAATGAATTTTGGTTCCAGGCTGGACGTTTTGGGCAATTAACCTATGTTCGAGTTTATCAGGGGATGCTGAAGAAATCTGATTATATCTATAACACCAGGACCGGGAAGAGAGTGCGCGTACAAAGGCTTGTCCGTATGCATTCAGACAACATGGAGGTGAGTGTGAGGGGTACAATCCACGCGGATTGCCTTTTGAACCACTCCTACTAAACAAGCCTCTTGCTTTTCAGCTCTCTCTGAACAATGTGCTATGTCAAAATTCTGCTTTTGTTGTTAATCCGTACTTGCCTGTAGCACTTAATAGAGCTCTACAAGAAACTGGAATGATCTCTAGTGTATTATTTCCACTGAAGTGGAAGAAGCTTTCCCCGAGAAGCATTATAAAATGGCTTTGAGGTGATAGCTAAAGAAAGCCAGCTGTGGTATTATCCCCATATTCCATACTTCTGGGAGAGGGGAAGTAGGATTGGCAAAGCATACAAAAAAGTTTTCTTTCATGTGATTATTGAATACAATTCTTAAACTAAAAATGGATTCTCAAACTGCTGCAAATACTACTCTTTCCTGTTTAAGATTCCTGAAGTGGGTCAGGACTGCCTGAAACACAGAATGTTGCTTGCTTCACATCCTTAAACTAGAATAAGTTGGCATCCAAGCTGAGGTCTCCTTTTTGTGCTTTGAATAAAGAGGGAAGATTTACAGAGCATTTTATCAAAGGTGGAATTTTCAAAGGAGCTTAACATCAAGCTTTTAAACACAGTATTTATATATCTTCTTAAAACCAGGTGAAGTTTGTAATATATCTTTCAGTGTTATCTAAATAGTGAACTTTTCTTTCTCAAGGATGTAAATGAAGTTTATGCAGGGGACATATGTGCATTGTTTGGAATTGATTGTGCGAGTGGGGATACGTTCACGGATAAAACCAGTACTGACATTTCCATGGTGAGTACACCTTTTCATCCCTATGCCTCATGCATTGGAATTTACCAGGATTTTGTGGTAAAAGTTTGTAATTGTTTGTTCAGTTTAAATATTTTGTGATGTATATGCAACTGCAAATATTTTTTGCAATTATTTGTTATACCACAAGGAGCCTGAATATATAGAAGTACAGTATGTGCGAGAGACACACCTGTGTGCTGTGCTTGACATCAAATATATTACTTCAGTGTTAGCAAACTGTTCTGGGCTGCTAAAATTGGATGCCGTTACACCAAAATATTAAGCTACGGATTTGTATATGTATTTCAATACATCAGTTGTATTTATGTATGTGTTTACAAAATCTTATAGGAAGCAGAGTCTTCTAACTAGTGTGAAATCCAAACATCGATCAACTTGGGTCTAGGAAACGGTGTTGGAAATAACATGGCTGGCAGGATGGCGTGCATTACATTATAGCCGTGTAGGAATCCTCAGGAGAGTGGCATAATTTTGTTGCACAATGGTATTAGATACAAGCTAGATAAGTAAAACAGCCATCCCTGTTTGTAACCTGGAGTTCTTGTGACCATACTTTTCTGGAGAAATAACACCACCAGGTGTAGTGGAACTCGGTTGTATGATCTCTTCCTTTCTGGCCGTTGCAGGAATCGATTCACATCCCTGATCCTGTCATTTCAGTAGCTATGAAGCCTTCCAACAAGGTAGGGGCCTATGAATCAACCTTTTTCTGAGTGACCTTTCCCCTGCTGCTCTTATAATTTTATGCAGGTTAGCAGTTAAATATGGAACCACAGACTAAAATGAGCAGTGTTTTAAAATGTTCCATCCAAAGTGCTTAAGAAGGTATTGTTCAGATAACTCGGCGCGTGGCTGGGTTAGATGGTATCACTTAGCCACAAAGCAGCAGCATGTCTTTGACCCGGGTAAACGTGGACTTGAAGTAACTGGAGGGATAGATACAGGTGTAAACGTACGGCTGTATTTCAGAAAATAACCTCATGAGAGCAGAAGTGCTAAGCAGTTGATAGGATTCGAGGCCTTTGTGTTGTGTCACTTCTGGATGCTGAGTTAATGCTTTCTTGGGTGCTAATTGTTTTTCAGAATGACTTTGATAAATTTTCAAAAGGCCTGAACCGCTTTACAAGGGAAGATCCCACTTTTAGAATCCATTTTGATGATGAGAGCAAAGAGACCATTGTTTCTGGAATGGGGGAGCTGCACTTAGAAATCTACGCCCAGGTAATTTGGAAAGCAGATTCCATGGACTCTGCTTTTGACTGTTTTTCCCAACCAAGAATTCTTCCTTCCTGGCTGAGACCAAAATCTGTCTGCAGACAGACAAACTGACACCAGCCTTTACGCCCAATTTTGTAATTGGATGCCTAAGCGCACGTCGAGTTTACAGAATGTTTGGAGGTGTACAACTCCACTTGCTTTAGTGTAAATCAGGGCTATTGTGTGACAACTATTTTAAGATCTTCCTGACAGAAAGCACCGCGGCATTAATGTGAACAATGCCAGCTGCTTAGGGAGGAGCTTAACTACTTAGTCAACTTTTGAAGACTCTTTCTCTGCAGTGGTTCTGTTCTGAAGGCTTGTAATCCATTTAAATGAAACTTCTGCCTGGAATATTTTTACTTTTTGGTTCAAATTCATAAAAAAAATGTTGTATTAAGCACTGCACTTTCCTTATAAGGAGTTTTACCATTAGCCGTTTCCTATGGGAGAGAGAAATACTCTGTTTCTGTGGTTTTAAATGTATCATTCCATAAGAGACGATGCAGGCAGGAGGGAATAGTTACTTACAGTGATTTATTTGTTTCTTTCAAGTGGATGTCTGTGCTTTATTTTAGTCTAACACAATAGATGTATCTGAAGTGTTGACAGAATGAAGAAAAGATGGCTTTTGTCTTTAAAAACTTAAACTCCGGTAAACTAATTAATGCTGTTCCCTTTTCCTGTATCTAAAGCTATAGGCCCTAAACAAGGTTGACCACAGAATGACAGTGAATAATTTGTAACGTCTAAAAGAACCAAGAAACGCCCCCCCCCACCAAGACCCCAAAAATCAATCCAACCCCAAACCAAAAAAAACTGGTTAACCCTGCTTAAGTTTCTCATTTCAGAAAGCTCTGTAAATAAAATAATTTCCAATCTATTGTTCCAATGGAACAACTCTATTTCATTCTATTTTTTTTTTTCTGCAGCGAATGGAAAGGGAATACGGTTGTCCTTGCACCATGGGAAAGCCCAAAGTTGCCTTTAGGGAGAACATCTCCGCGCCTGTGCCGTAAGTATTTGTTCTGGCAACAGAAGTTTTTTAAATGTATTTTGATGCAGCATTTGATTACGTAGCAGACAAAGTGCCTTTTGGCTTATCAGATCAAAGCACAATGTACAGGGAAAGTTTAATTGAGGAAGGACTTCTTTCTTCGTACCTTGATTGCGTATCCGCCCTCACCAACTCATCTGCCCTCCCTTCAAATGCTTATTGTAGCATTTGGGCTTCTTCCACTGCAGTAGCGGGTGGTCGGCTATTCCGATGCATCTTTTGGCTGACGGCTGTCCTGTGTTACTTGAACACCGTGCTGTGGGTGCCAGAGAACTGTCATTTGCCAGGGAATGATCTCCTGTGGGTAGAAAATAAAACCGTAGAAAGTGAGAAGGTATTTTCTCTGAACAATACCGAAGGGGAATTGACTGCTGTAATACAGCCATACCTGGGCTGAATATAAGTAGGTTGATAAGCACCAGTAACACGGCAGGGTAAGCGCTGTAACACGCAGTCCTGCTGAGCTGTTCAGAGATCTGAAATTCTCCTGCAAGCTTTTTTCAGCCTGTGTTGTGCTCCATGCTGCTGCAACTACGTTTTTCTTTCACCTAGGCAAGTTTTGCAGCTTGAGCATGTCTGTGTTGGATGACCCCTCTTACTGTTAGTGCTATTGATATTTTGGGACATCTGCCCTTTGCCAAACCGAGTACAATGAAGAACCCATGCTTTTGTCCTGCAATTAGTTAGCTACTACTTTTCTATGAAGAAAAATTCATGAAAACTTAGGAACTTGAACCACTACAGATGTCCCAGCTTAACTGAGAGTGCAGTGGGGTAGGAAGCAGTGGAGCTGGAAGTGGGAGTGAGATCTCTGATCGTTAGCGGTGGATGATCCCTTACAGGAGGTTGCACAATCAAGAGCTTCTCTTTCAAATTTTCTGTGTTTTTCTTATGAAAACACTTGCCTAGATCGCGAAATTGCGATGGAGGATAGCAAGCAATGTAAATACTGTTCTGGAAACCAAAGTTTCTGCCGCTTTCTTGTGTGAGCTGCTGGGGTAGATGATACCTCTGTGTACCGGTCCACTGCTGCTGTCCTCTAGCGTAGAAGCACTCTGCAGATCCAGCTGGAATGCAGTTAAGCAGTCCAGGATGCTGGCAGCCGCTTCTTCCCTTTATCCCTGGCCAGTTTGGCAATAGGATCTCCCAAGAGGAGAGAGCTGTGAATGACCAGTGTATTGAACCTCTGCCATTCCCAAGAAGGGCCCAGAAATAGCTGAAAATGACTGTCTGCTGACACAAGTTAGAGACGTGTTGCCTCCTGCCTGCATAGGGGCAGAAGCTGGTAACGCTGAGACAGAAAGCGATCGTTGCCCTAACCTCACCCTGTTTGCTGACGGACCTGCAAGCATCAGATCTGTGAACGCCCCGCCATCTGCATGCCCCAGCTGGAGGTTACACAGTTGGCAGTGGTAAAAAAAGGCTTTTTAGAAATAAGACTTTACCTGGGACACCTTTTCGTGAAGTAGAATCAGGTAGTCAAATTCAAGATATTCATCACTTCTTTTCTGGAAAGACAAGATGAAATGGGCTGAATCTGGGGCTTTCCCCCACCTTAAAAGTGAATCAGTTCTCTTTGGTTATCATAAAAATTCTCTGATATACTTCACATTAAACCGGCAGCTCGTGTTAACAGATAAAGCAGATGGAGTTTAGTCACGATAACAAAACAAAAAGATACTGTTTTGTGTTTCTGTGAACTCCCAAAATTGCATTTGAGAGACTGAATGTGAAACTTAAAACCGTGCTAATTCCTCCCTTAAAGAAGCTAGATATATCTCAACTTCAGGACCTCATTTGGGAAGGGAACACCTGATTCTACAAGGTGTCAATTTAACCCAAATAATCCTAAATAAAATTGCCAGTGGGATAAGACTTGGAATGCACTCCAGCGGCCTTATAGTGGACAAGAAGTTAGCAGTGATTGTGTGAGCGACAGAACACCCGCTGGCCTTTAGAGCATATTCTTTATGCATCTATTCTTCAGGGAAAAGAAAAGGAACAAAATTACTACAGAGAGATGACAGCTGGTTTAGTTTAATAGTCTTATCCTTAAATTCATCTGGCTTGTTAAAAGGGGGGTTTAAAAATCTTGCTTGCACACAGCCCTGCGGCATCTGTGAACTGCTTTCAGGTAGCCATCAGAGGGAGCAAAACGTTAACAAATCGCGCTCCAGAATGAGTTTCTGCCTTTCCTTCATACCCAGAACTTCATGGGAACTCACTGGCTGCTCTGAGTGGCCAAACATTCGGGCTCTGAAAGTCTGTTCTGAAGACTCCCGATATATTGGGTTTTTGAAATGCGAAGCCCTGCTTCTTTATTCTAGCGGACATACTAAATGTCCTTGAATTTAAAGTTGACCATCCCTTTAGGAGCTATTCTTAACGCACGGTATATTTTCTCCAAATCGAATAGAGAAGAACCAGGAGAATCTATAGAATTGCATTAACTTAAAAACAAAACTGAAAACTTTGCTCTGATAATAACTTTTCTGAAAGCAAGTTGCTTTATCAGTTAAGCCTGTTCCAGGTAAGACACCTGCAAGGCCTGTGATGGTGGCAGCCAATGACTCAATTAATTTGAACAGCTAGAGTGACATTTGCCAGTCATATTTATTTCTTAGCTTAGGGCGGATCTAGATCTGCTCAAGATAAACACACCACTTGTAACCACTCAGAAATAAGTGAAAATAGAAAATATTTTGTCCCGCAGTATTCTGTTCCCTTTCTGCCCTGTGACACGTCTTCCTGAATTCCATTTTCTTGTCATAATCTTGACTGATGCTCATCATGCTAATGTAAGTCTAAAAGCATGGCTCCAACTGACTGAATTTTTCAAATCAGGTAGAAAGCTATCCCTGAAGTAAGTGTTACTGTTAACTGGGTCATTTAAAAAAACTGAGACACCGCTTTGGCAACATGAATATTTCAACTAAAAATTAATTTTAGGGCCCCCCCCCCCAATAGTAAATTTGGGAAGAACAAAGTAAAAAAGCTAATATTGAGAGTGGAATTAAATCAATACTTTCTTTCCTGACTAGTGTTTTGAGGTGAACTAGCAAATGGACAGAGACTGCAGTAGTGCAAACAAAAGCAATGTAGATTGTGTTTTACTGAATTTGAGGTGCAGCCCACTGCTATTTGTCTAGACACGGCTATCACAGAGATGTCAAGCAGTATTACTGTGACTGATTGCTAGATCACGGTGTAGATCAAGAGATAAAGGACAATATTCCAGCGCATGTTATGCAGATGCAAGAATGCTGTCAGCTGGGCTTACACTACAGATGAAAGGCAGGAAAGTAATATAAAACTATAATCAATGTGATGACCTCTAAGTGGAAGAGTCAATTTTCGTAACTAAGTAAGCGTAGAACACCGCTCTTGCCAAGAAGACAGTTTCTGTAAGCAAAATTTATGAAGAGGAGTAGTGATCTAAAATAAACACTCAAGCCACCAGTGAAAGCCTTCATCATTTGCTAGAGGAAAAGGTGAGGGGGAAACAAAAAGCAAACGCTGGCTTAAAAATGAACCGGCCCAAGAAGTTCAGACACGTTTGAGGTTTCTCGCTTAAGAACTTAGCTTCAGCTGTAGTCCAGTACACGCACAACTGCTTAGCTCCTAAATACGGTTTTTATTGCAGGGCATTGATGGTAACTTACCACTTGCTTCACATGTTTAATTTGGGCAAGGTGGAACTCTGTGTTTTCAGTTGAGTTCTGCCATATCACGTAGCCGGAGGCGGCCCAGGCTAGCAGGCGGACGGGCTCCATTTCTGGGGACAAGTTGCCGTGGCTGTCTGGCAAACAAAATGAATAATATACATTGAGCAAGATCGACGGAGTTGCAGCCATTTGCAGAACCTTATCACCTCATAGTAGGGTTTGGTGCTGAAGTCACTCGCTCGCGTTCCTTGCTGTGTCGGAGCCCTTCCGTATAATCTCGGCAGAGCAGCTACATCACCACTGTGTCTGTTTTCCTCCCGCTTCGTTCTCTTAATATATACACTATAAGGTCTTCAAGGCAGGGGGTTGCTCTAAAGTAAGAGCAGACCCTGGTGCGGCAGCCGGTGTGTCTGAGGTACTGTGCCGAGGACGGCCGCCAGCGGTGAGCGGGACGCTGGGAAAGGAAGAGGTACCAGGAGCGGGTGGTTTTCAAGAACAATCACAGGCAAAGCACGTTACCGGTTCTGGGTTTCAGAAGTGATGAATAAATTTAGTAATGTTGAGATTGACGCAGCACCCGGAATGAGAGAAAGTGAAGCAGCACGTATGCAGCGTAGGGCTGACGGCCCGATCCCCTCGGCCCTGGCTCCCGTCCTGCTCGTGGGCCACCACCAGTTGAGCTCAGGTTTGCTTCTGGCTACGGAGGACATTGTCTCAAAAACTTCCTTCTCACCCAGTCCCCTTCTTTGTACCTGGTATGTTTTCGGCCACAAGCTCTTTTTCCAGGCTCTTGATTCGGTTGTAGAATACGTTATCTGCTTCCTCTGTGTTCTTAAGTTCTCCTTCAATTGTGAATTGCACATCTGGAGCAATGTTTTTGTTGCCCAGATGGTAAAGAACCTCAGCAGTGCAGTTAACAGTACTGTCCTGTTACAGAGTTAATTATGTGTATTAATATTTGATTAAATACATGTATAGTATTGGTAATTCGCACTTCTAAAATGTATTTTTTTTCTCTATGTAGTTGCCGTTTTCTCCGAGTCTGGCCCATAGAGATTTGTTGTTATTTAAGACCTATTTAAATCCATGGCATTTCTGTGACTGTACTATAAGGGTAGTTTTCTTTCTGCAGCGGTAGAAGGGGCAACATTTGTGGTGCAGAACCTCACTTGTGCTATTCAGTTGGACTAATGGGTTCAAATAACTTCAGTTTGAATTTGAATGACACTGAAATGCCATCCCTCAGGCATTTTCTTGTGTCATAGTGGTAGGCACCAGATGTTCAGGGCTTTTATCACGTAGAAGATGGGGGTTCCTTTTGGTAAAGTTAAGCCTCTTTTTTTTTTTTTTTTTTTCTTTCCTCCCTGATTTGCAGTATAGAAAAATACTGACTCAGTAGCCAAGTGTTACTAACTGGTGTGTCCGCTGGCCTCAGCTAGGATCAGCAGCATAAAGTGTTGGGTTTTTATTACATACCAGTAGTGCCAACTTCTGCCCACAGAACCTATTAATTAAATAAATCTGAACTCACTTTGTCAAGGACGTCTTCTAACACCAACTCCAGATGGTACTTATGCCCAGCATCAGCGATGTCCTAAGTAAGGAAAACATTAAGAACATTTATTTTGTAAAATACTGAATCACTTCACGTTGTGGAAAAGATTCTAGTTACTGCGCAACGCCGCAGCAGTGCCATTCTCCGCAGGGGCTGTACAGAGCTAGGATAGTCTTGTATTTCTTCCTGCCGTGTTAAGATCGCTCATTGAACGTGTGTGTGGTGCAGCGTCCGATTAGTCCCTCCTCGTCCGTTCCTAGTCTTGTATACTACTTAATTGCCGTATTTGGGCTCCCAGTTGGGCTCCCAATTGGCATATTTGGGCTGCTTGGTTAAATACTGAGGTAGGAGTCTTAACTGGGGTCCTTACAGTAAGTCCATTTTGCACTTTATTATGAATTGTGCCGTGTATGTTCTGGATGTCTACACCAGCGACTTAAGCGGGTTAGCTTTGCTGTACCCCCTGTTTTGGCAGGGTTAGAACGGCTCAGTGGCGAGCTCTCTCCTGGTCGTCACGCAGACAGCACCCTCCTCCCGAGCCGGTTTGCTGGGGAGGTTCGGCAGGCACCCACGCCTCGACGCGCTACACGGGCACGGCGCAGGGCACGCGTCTTGTCCCAACGGGCGAGAACACGAAG